ATACATTTTTCTGTGTGGCACTGCTGTTCCAAGTCTCACAGGAACTTCCAAAAACATTATTGCCTAAAGTAAGGTCCTCCAATGCAATGCATGACTGCAATGACAGTGGAGAGAGAGTTCAACGCATCGCCCCCTCATATATGCCATTCCAAAACTTCTCTTGGTTGACTTATCGCTGTTCACATGCTTAGGTAAGTTTACCATTGGCAAGGAGTGAAATAAAGTTATACCAAAGCAAAGGAAAGTCATTCCTTGTTGTGCTTTCTGCTCATAAACCTGGACTATTTAAAACATTGATGAAAGGATTCTGAAATAATTATTGTAATATTGTCTGTTCCCTTTTCAAAGCTCCTTTTCTTGTCTATAACTTATCCCTTATTTCCTATTCATGTTTAGGCCTACCTTATTACTCCATTTGAGAGAGCACCTGACTTTCCGACTTCTCAAGCCATATTTACCTATTGGGTTTTGGGCTTTTTGAGTTTGCATGCACCATTTAGGCCCACTTAGCTTCAACTCTGGTAACCGCAAAAATTACCTATCTAACTGAATTGAAAAAAAGGCACAAACAAGCACACATAGCTGATGTTAGGAGACCAGAATTGCTATTGGCAACTAGAGCAGCTCATACTCTTACATCCAGGGGCGACTCCCCTCATGCCAGCCTCTTTCAAAGAACACCCAACCATCGGGCTTACTAACTACTAATTGTCCGAAATGCTGTTGAAGTGAAAAATAAAGAAAGCAAGGGTGCGGGTAGAAGTCGAGTATGGCGAGTCCGGTATCAAAACTATAGTCATGAGCCATTTGACTGCCAGCTTTCGATTTCGAAGGAGGTGGGATATTAAAAAAAAAAAAGGTGCAACGCTGTCGTGGATGTAACTGGATCCAAGACAACACAGATGTAATCAACACCAGGCAAGCATGACAGAAACCGAAAGAAAAACTCACATGGATGAGTGGAAAGGATGATGAGAACAACCGGAAGCAGAGTAGAAAGAAACATGGTGATGCAGACGAGTTAATCACCGAACTCGACGAAACAAAGTGTCAGTCGATGGTCATCGCTTGACTTTGATCAGTGTGCCCACCCTGTCTTCGGATTAAATTCGTATCCACCCGTAGGAGCGCTTCCATCGACTTCAAGCAGCGACATCTCACAGATGGACTGTTGAATGTGAAGAATCCTACACCTGTTCCTAAAATCACATGCATGGGATCAGTAGCGAGCCCAGGAAATTCGAATGGGAGGGGTAACATAAAACTGATAACCCACCCCATGGGCGTCCGCTGGTTTATTCCCGGGGGGGGGGGGGGGGGGGGGACAAGGCACAAGAATGGCAGAACAGATGTACACACAAGGGTAATTTATCTTTTGTAAAATGATGATAAAGTACAAGGAATTATACCAGGGTAATTCCAACTCAAATCAGCTAGAGGCTGGAGCATGACCCCCTCCGATTTTGATGAAAACTTTTAATGTGGTACCCCTCATGACCCAAAGTTAGAATGTAAAATTTTCGTTTTGGGTATGGAACAGTTTTAGCACAATAATTTGTTAAATTTTGTGAAATTAAAAAAAGGTGCACCTCTTCACACTCGTGGGCCAAAAACTTTCTGACCAAAACGAACGCAGCGAACACCGTTGTTCTTCAAAATTCAGACTTTCGAAGTTATTTCATATATTTTACTTTTCTCCTCGAGGCGACACTGAATAAAATAAAGCTATGTAAAATTTGCCTATTTTTGGTTGATTAAAAAATTTGCAAAATGTCAACATGTTCATCTAACCTAACATGTTCATCTATGTTTTTGGAATCAGCAGAAGATCTAATGACGTGTATCCCATTTTTGTCCCAACAAATTCCGTTTAAGAAGATGTGATGGCTCGAAATGTTCAAAATCACAAATTTCGCAAAAAACCAGTTTTCAATTGTATGGTGCCATTTTCTATGCAGCTCAACAAAATTGAAAGATTTGCAGAATGTCTGCCATTTACTTGTAAGATGTGATGGCTCGAAATGTTCAAAATCACAAATTTTGCAAAAAACCAGTTTTCAATTGTATGGTGCCATTTTCTATGCAGCTCAACAAAATTGAAAGATTTGCAGAATGTCTGCCATTTACTTGAGCAAAAGATGAGAGCAATTTCAAAGCTCATATACTTTTTTAAAAGCGTACCACACGTTTTTACTCAGATCCCACCTCACAATTTCTGCCGTTGTTTTTTGTTTTTAACCATACAGTTTTCATTACCAATTCTTCATTTTTTTTTCTTCATAACTGCAATCAAAGGAATAATGTTTCGCCTTAACACATTGGTGACCGGCCCCGGGGCCGGTCACCAACCGCTCGCGAGCGTATTACGAGATTTCTCGGGGCCCGTCATCAATGTGTTAAAAACAACGACAGAAATTGTGGGCCTCAAAGTAGCCCTTACCTGTAGACCTATTATGCAACTCTTATGTCAGACAATGAGACAGCCCAGCAAACAATTTGAAACACATAACGCTGAATCAACGTTTGAAACATTGGTACAACATAGCCTTGTTTGCTGGGAGGGTCTTCTACTCGAAGAGAAACAACAGGCACCTTGGTTATAAAAAAAATAACAATGTAACTGCAAAAATTACGTGAAATAGCCATTCAGCCTGGGATACTTGCATTCCATGTTGTACGATCTTCAGCTTTGGCGCGATGTTATGTAGAGCATCAGGCACCTTGGTTATAAAAAAAATAACAATGTAACTGCAAAAATTACGTGAAATAGCCATTCAGCCTGGGATACTTGCATTCCATGTTGTACGATCTTCAGCTTTGGCGCGATGTTATGTAGAGCAGTAGTGTTACCGGAACCTCTGGACCAGATGGGTTGAGTTGAATTTTTAACTCGTTAGGATGTTTCATATTGCGTGGCAAGATTGGTCTAAATGGTGCTACGGAAGAAGAGATTTCCACATGAAGTACATTAAATTTCTTTTTTAGTACTACCAGTAAATTTCCATGCCCGATTTCCAGGGGGGGGCAAGTGCCCCCCCTTGCCCCTGGGAGCGGACGCCCATGGTTCTGAGACGTTCACTTAGACGGTCGATTTTAGATGCCCCCATAGAAGGAAGTCGAATGGCGTGAGGTCCAGTGACCTAGATGGACATTCAACCGGTGTATAAACCACAATTACCACAGTACAACGGTTAAATCCCTATGGGTCCTGACTTTTGCGCTACCCTGTAGTGTGCATTTTCCATTAGAGATATTCAAAATGGGCTCCGAGTTCCACACGTTTGGAGACGATATATCTAATTCTACTGAACTCTGCGCAGTGTTTGTTCTTGTCCATCGACGGCTGTATAGCAGTCATGCGTTCTCTAAGGTTCCGTATCTAAACTTGGTACACCTCAGCATTGAGGTAACCCCAAAAGAAAAAATCCATAGGGGCTTAACTCCTGTGACCGTGGAGCCCATTCTTTTGCGCCTCTTCTTCCAATCCAGTCGTGTGGAAAGTTGTCTAACCGGAGACGCACAGCTGCAGCATAATGCGCAGGAGCTCCGTCTTGCATGAGCCACTCTGTCATTCCCAGACCAAGTGAATGCAGTAGTATCATCAATTGATCCTTTCAAGACACGGCTCATTAGGGGCATGCTCGTTGAAGAAGACAGGACCCCAAACATGTGCTCACGGTCAACGTCATAATTTTTCCTGATCCTTGAATCTTGTGAGGATAAAACCAGAGCATTTTACTAGACCAGTCCCAAAATTTTGCCTAATCGCCGAACAGGTTGCGACGGGAAAAATTGGAATTCTCGTACGCCAAAATAACCATTCGCACATTTCAACTCTACGATCAGGATCGTCCTAATTTCAGCCTTGCATAATTTTAAAGGTTGCCACTTCTGTGTTAAGAATTTTGTGCGCGGTACCTTTGGGAACACCGATCTCTTGAGATGACCTGAGTATCAAATTTTTGGGACTTCCAACTAATTTTACTAGCACATTTTCCCTATTCCACAACCCTATCAACTTCTTTCGACAGGGCCATTTTCGAAAACTCACCTGTACGTAAAAAAGAAACTATCAATATTTATCAATGGACACCCTGTAGAGCAATGGATCTTCCACCATTTGACGATCTTTAGAATTCACTTTTTCAAGGATCCAAAATGCATCTGGCTTTGGCTCCGAGGCTCTTCAGTTCCCAGGGTTTGCAAGTCAGAAAAATTGGACTAAGAAAAAAGGATTGACAAAATCTGCAACATTTTTCTGAGGTCTGGTGAGTCAGCACATTTAAAATAATTGGTCACTCTAGGTTCAATAAGAAAGTTGTCCATGGCCTATGGTCCCATATAGTAATTTCATGGAAACCCTTTGTGGCACAGCACTGTAATGCAGTACCTTTCTGGCCGTTTCTTCCACTCCTGTGTGGAATGTCAGCTTTGCACCTAGGTCAGCTTTTTTTTTATAATTGTTTTTAGACTTCAAGTAGAGCTGGTTGAATGAACTGATAAACACAAGCAACTTTTCAAAAGAGCAATAAATCTCCATCTCAATTACAACATCCGCCTGGGAACGATGCTTCCTGATATCTATGGTTTCAGACTTGCATTCATTTAAATTAAGGAGGATGTATTTAAAAAAAAAAAACAGGGAGAGGGGGCATGTTTAAAGTTTCAGGAGGTACCCTTCCATCCACAATTTACATCTATTAGTACTGCTTAGTATGCATTATGAAAGAGGAATAGGGGATGCAACACATTCAACCTCTCCTCCATTAACACTATTCTTACTAAACAGTGTTGCCATTAATGAAACTTCACAACTATAACTGCCAAAAAGACTTTTGTAAAGTAGCCTTCTGATCACAAAGTGGTTTTACATTATCTCAATGTAAAATTATTGGGGGTCAAAAACCCAAGGACTTTACAAACACACCAGTACTTCTTCATCCCTCCATATGACCAGTCACCAACATTTTCAAGTGGTACAGATGTTCAATTTCTAGAAACTCCTGTTCATGACTTATCTTCTACAAGTGGTGAAACTCTGTCATAGGAAAAAGAGATGGGAGAATAGGAAGAGAAAGTGGCAAATGATTTTATTCCAAGCCTGATTGCTGATGAGACCAGAAAGGAAAGGAAACAGAAAGATCCAAGGAAGAAGAAATAAAGAAAGCAGCTTGATATCACGTAATTCAAAAAGCACATCCTTCATCTCTTCTCTCTCTTACTAGAGACCTGGAGGAACAGATGTATAACTGAATAAAAAAAACCAATTGAAATGCACAATGTAGGAAAGAAGACAGGGCCATGTGAGAGAGTGCATTTAATTTGATATCCCAGATCAAGGACAAGCAAATAAAGATACCTTTTGCAGAGATCAAACAAAAAAAAATATAGAGACAAAGGCGAGTGGGGATTGCTTCAGTGCAGAAACAAAAATGGTCCCAAGTGAGGAAAGATGGAAGAAAGCATGAAGGGAAGTGCTGCAGAGCCGGTATGGCTGACTGGAAATAAACACAGGTGCCAAGAAAGAGACTGGGACAATCAACAAAAATCATGATCAGAATCAGAATCATCATCACACTTGGCAGATTGCAAAAAAAATCACCTCAATAAGCTATTTTACAAGCTAACTGAGCAATCCTCAAGGAGGTAAGGAGAAACATATCAGCACGGGTTAAGGCAGGAAAGAGAAGGAGTAATGAAGATGGAAATAGTCAGTGTGTATTTATGTATGGAACATGTATCTATCTGGCCTCATACATGGGGGAAACCTACTCATATGGACTAGAACCAAATAGATTAACTGGTTCTTCTGCACACCTGGCCCTATAAATCGCTTTCATCCTGCATTTGCCTTAGATGTGTGTGTGTGTATGTTTGTGTGCAGAAAACTGGGAGCAGAATGTTGGCATGGAAGACTGAAAAACACCATCACTGTTGTTTCTTCTTAGTTTTCACTTCATTGACCACTTTTCCTGTATTTGCATTGTCACGGGAGAAAAGCCTGAAAAAAGAAAAGACAGATAAATCACCATCTCATGCGTGCTAAGGGAGAATGTTGGCAATGACTCAACACTGATGCAAGAAGTCAGTGACCAAAGAATCTACTGATGATTATTTCATGAAAAATACAGAATGGAGTCATGAAATTTTCATGGACACTTGGGCCTATTTATTAGGCAAGAAGTCATCCACGAGGTTGATTTCACAGGTTCAACTTTACAGTTCCACAAAGCAGCAACTTGATAAAATTTTCATTTCCCAAAAAGTCCCAAAACTCTCTCAAAAGCAAATTACCAATGTCAAACATATTGACAGATGAAAATGCCATTTCCTTGAAAATAAATTGTCTAATTTTTTCAACACCAGTCATGACTCACTAGAAGGCACTCCTGTACAATGTGGCATTAGGTAAGTAGTAATAACCCAAGTGCAAAAAGTGTATTGGAAAAGGCCACTTTCCACATAGCTCCTACTTATCATGAATTAGCTAAAAAAGAACTGTTCACCAGCTACTTATAATGGGGAAAACAAAGTTTCATTAATGCTTCCAGAGTTTTTTCTATGCCTGGTGATAATCCTGCTGGTTTCCTGGTGTCCAAAGATACAGACCAATCCATCATCACACTACTGAACCAAGTTTGACAAATGATCTGGTCTTGATTCTGCACCATGTCTTTTGGAGGTCTGAGGCAAAGAATGAGCACTAAAAGTGCTAATGGGGCAATAAACACCAAAGACTTAGTTGATCTAAAAAAAAATTAGAGAACTGATTAAGAACTAATTAGAATTTATCTCAATTTTATGGTGTGCAATTTGAGGTCCAGAGCACTGAAGTAATATCAAAAGAACTAAGCATTACATAACCCTCTTCATACACAATATATACATTCTTGTCAGCTATTTCACACAAAAACAGAAGTCTCTGCCGAAAATTCATAATAACTTCAAATTAAACACAGGATAATTTCATCAAAATATCAGGTTTCCCAATATTAGGTGAATCTGACATACCGGCACAATACAATATATGGCCTACCAATAATAGACACATGGGAAGGATACCTAAGTATGTCAAATGCCAAGTGTGAGTAGCAAGTGATGGATATCCACTCCTCTTTCTCACAGGTTAAACATGCCTGAACATCATGTTTTTTTCAGGAATTATACAGAATATATGCTTTTCTCCCCCTTTGGCTTGGGAGCAGGAGGATTGCTGTGAAGCACTGAGGCCCCATCCCTTGTAGGCAGTCAGCATCTTGATGTGCTGCTCCCAGAGTATGCATGGTTAGTCTCTCTTCAATGGCCTACTCCCACCTTCCCTCCTTTACCCCTCAATGACATACTCTTATCAGAGGGTTGTGGTTTTATTTTTAGTGATTGTGACGAACCTACCTTTCAGGAGCATTGTTAGTCTATTTTTTTAATTCCTCTTGGAACTTTGTGGATCCATTGCTTTTTGTGATTTCCTGATGGAAATATATATTTGGCATCAGACATTAGACAAAATGCAATATTTCTACATCTCTAATTTTTATCATGGGGATATCAGAAATTACAAGGAATTAATTGGTTTCTATTATCATCATTCAGTGTATATTTTGCTGAGATAGGATCCCCTGCTCCAAGACAAACTGCTTCCAGAATGAATGAGAGGAATTTGTGATAAATCATGAAATTAAAACCCTTCAACCATAATGCCCAAGTAACAGGAAGTGTTAAGTGCTCTGTCAAAACAATATGCCTTTTGAAGGTCTCAAGTACTGATATGGCACAGAAAGTACTAAAATTTACATTCCATTTAAAACACAAAGACCACTCTTAAAGTAAAAATTACTAGACCGATTCATCAAGAACCACAAGATTCATCCCAGTTAAGGATATGTATTTAGCAGGTCTCTATGGTTGACATGAAACAAAGTATGAAACAGTACTCAATACACAGAGCATATAGAATGGTCACAAGAAAAATGTTACAGATGAGGCATTGATGCCCAAAATGAACATGCCCTTGGATTTGAAATTAAAAGTGGTCAGTTTTAGTCATGATCATGTTCATGCAATCCTGAACCTAAGAAAATATGCCTAAATAGCATGGAATTCTATGGAATTCAAAGACATGCATTAGTCAAGTCCCATAGAGATCAAAACAAAGTAGCATAATGCATCATTACAGGTTCCAAACCTGGTCACTAACCCAAGAATAATTTGTGTGAAATGCCTGTACTACCATGCAATTTTATGAAACCATCACACAAACAAGGTCACCACATTTTTTGAGCATATAAGTCACTGGAGAGGTGATATTAGATATCATTTTATGACCATTTTATGCTGGCCATTATTTCCAAGCAAGATGAATTCAAGAGGAACTTGAAAATACTATCAATCTACAATCTTAAGGATAAATGATCTTTTAACAACTTCCCACTTCAAATTGTCAGATGGTTGGCTACTTCCTCCTACTAATGTAAGAAACTTGAAGCAACCAATGAATATATGGTGAGGCAACTGTGAGCGAATTACCTAAAAAAAAAAGAGAAAAACTTTCATGCTCAAAGAGCAAACAAAGATATACATTCCCCTCAACTTATCTGTTCCATAAGAACTTTTTAAGTCTCACCTTGGAAAAGAGTAGAGTTCACAGTTCTCCACAAGTATGAAGGCTGGCTGACACATCAGTTGGGTTTGAGACAGAAGATGTGGGAGATGGCAGATTGATATACGGAAGAAGAGAGAAATAGGACAAAAGAAGAGCAGAGGAAGGAGGACAGACAGAGGAGAGACAAAGTAAAACCACTGTTCTTAGGATATAGATCTCAATAGCCACACTGGATGAGATAATCTCCTAGTCCTTCTGCAGTGGAGGCTGCTTGTTGCGGCTGGATCGGGTCGTTGTAGGTGGCCACTATCACCGCTGCAAAACACCAACACAATCTGTCAATTACTGATCCTATCTTCAGACAAAAGGCAGTCATGAATAGAATTTTATTAGGAGTGAGAATAACTCATTGAACTCTTAGAGCAAATATTGCATCCAGTGAAAAAATAATTAAAAACTGCAGTCTGTCCAAAATTTTGTTGGGCTCATTTGTGGATAGGGCAGTGGCATTTCTAGTCTAGTGGTCCACTCTCAAAACTCAATCCAAGGACACTTTGAGGTTCTTTAATCCAGTTTGAAACTACAGAGTGGGTAAAAAAAAGTCAGTTACCTTTATCACTCCACAGCACTGGTCCTCAAAAGTTTGCTAAAATTGCAATAGCACCTCTGTAGAAAACATTCATTCAGCTTTCCAATGATGTCAATAGAATCAAGACTCGTAGCATGACTTTCAGGCATATAGATAAAAAGTATAAGAGGTGGCACTGGAAGAGTTGATGCCATGTTGCAATGGCAGCTAGTGCATGCAAGAGGTTGCCTACTCGCCATAAGCAAAGAGATGGGTGTCACTTGGAGCACATCTTGCATGGTACTGGTAAGTGCACTTTTCAAGCGCTACCTATGAACCACTGAGGGTAACTGTATTGAAATGACGAATTGGATAGTAAATCTTTTGACATCAACGGAAAGCTAGATAAATGTTGAGCTGAAACACCAGACAATTGCATGAGAGAAAAAAAACAAACACATTAAAATCCTACAAGTTCTAGCATTAGTCAAAATGAACCAAACTAGGCATAATAAAACATACTCTAAGCAAAGTCTTATTGGAAAGGGTATGGTGTGTCAATGCCAAGAAACATTCAGCCAGTACAACTGAAGAAGTACTACCATGACTGTCCAAATATTGCATGGTGTCAATGGGCATGTGCAATAATCATGGGCTGACTCTTTACCAATGATAAATCAGAACCAGTCTTGCCAAACATGAATTAATGTCAAGACAAAGTAATGTGTTACTTGGGAAGGCATCACCAATGCTTTCTCTATGTTCCACGATGACAAGGCCCTAAAGCCTATCCTACAAAGGTCAAGGTGTTGTGGAATGAGAGCCTGCAAGAGGCTGTTGGAGATAAATACTGTTGGGGAATTGTAACAAATCTAACTAAGATGAAGAAATGGGATCAAAGCAGAAATAAGGACAGGAAACTACTGAGCTTTTGAGAGAGACATTTCTTCACTTGACTTGAGTGGGGAACACTGAATAACACCTTACTCCAAATAAATTTAAAAACTGAATTCGCGGAAGGGGAGAGGCCGACCTTGATTGGTTTTGACGCAATGCAGGCCCATCTTGTCCTTCTTGGCACGTACCACCTGGTCGTTCCCTGAGAGGTAAACGAACCGGGTCCCATTCACATGGACTCCATTCATGTGAAACTGGGTGGGATCCCCTAATCCCGCCATCAGTCGCACGATCTCCTCCTTCGACACCTGTACATCATGAAGACATCAAAACAATTAAATATTTGTCATCGAGGGAACAACGAAATGGCATGCATAGACTAGTGGAAACGCTGCTTCCGTGTTCCTTCTATAAATAGCCAACACGTACACATTGGGGAAAGCGAGAGAGAAAGGTAAGGAGCATGGCTGGCTAACGAGCAAAAGAACTGGGAGAAAAGGGGGAATCCTGGTGCTGTCTTTTTCCAACATTTACCCAGCCTCGACGGGCCGGGTCGGTGGTTCATTCCCTTTCCTTCGACGAGGTGCAGGGGCCTACACGGTCCCAACACCCAGTAGCGCGGATCGAGTCGGACCCGACACCGCACGGGGCATTTCGACATAACTTCTCGATGAGGCCTCTATCTCATAGGAGCTACCCACCAGCGCGCAGGACAAACATGCATACGTTCTCGACCAGTAGATTACGCGGAGGGATTGTACAGCGTGAAGCTTTGATTGGACCCGTCGTATCACGTCGGTGTAAAACCCGAGCGCCCTCTCATTTTTCTTCCATTCGCACATGAGAGTATGTCGAGCAATAAAAAAATCCCTAAGCATGTCTCTCATGGTTGACTTGATCGAGGTAAAAAGGAAAAGTAGTAATAGCCCCATGCGTGACAAAAATGACCCAAGCCTCCCTAGTCGTTCATTCCGGAATGTCTTGAAATTTTTTTTCTAAGAACTTTCTTTTGACGGAGAGGAAGCACAAGCCCTGATCATCAAGAGGCTACGGTGTGACAACGCTTCGAAGGAGGTCGGAGAACCGGGAAACCGCATCATTCCATGCCCTCCGGCTCCGGTCAATTTCTTATTATGTACACGCTTCCCTACACACACACACACACACACGATAAGCTGGACATGATAAGGCGGTCCATCTCATTGCTAAGGATGCCGGAAACATGCAGACAGGGGGAGGATGGATGTAGGCCTAATCGGACAACCCACACACTGACTCACTTCCTTCCTCCGCTCCCTCCGACATTGGACCGACTTAGTCACTCGAGACAGAAAAGGGCGACAAGTTCTTAACACTGATATGCGTGATCATCCTCGAGTAATCCGACAGTGCAATTCTTTAATGGCAAGATGGTAATAAACTGGGGTTTATTACGCAAGTCTATTGCACAGAGCCAGTCTCGCTACTAAATGCTCTACTGATAAAGTCAGCCCAGGAATTTTACCGGACACATTTGTCACTGCTAAGCGCAAAGAAGTCACGAAACGACAAAAACGCCTGCAGCTGGAAGAGTTCCAGATCAAGGTTTACGACTAGGTTAACTGGACCGTGGAGCAGGTTGCAAAAAGAAAAAAAAAAAACGAACCTTTTATGGAAGGCAGAGCAAAAAGTTTCATGACACCGTTCCCTATAAAAGATCTTACATGACTCCGCGCACCCCAATGAAGGAAATGCCGGCAAAACCAACATCCAAGCTCACAACTCACAAGCAGCCACTAATCAATGAGCTCAAAAAAGACAATGAAATATAATACCATAGTGAAGCCATTGGTAAGAGACGAACGGGAATTCCTGAAGTGAAAAAAAAAATGAATTCTGTATACACCTGCCAATTTTCGTCAAGGTGGAGTTGGTGGAACGGTGACAATCCGTCTAGAAAAAGATTTGCTGAAAATAACTGCCACCCGCTCGAATGCAATCAAGGAGTCCATGTCGGCGCTCCTCACTTCAACTGTCTGCCACATCAGGAATTTCGTCCCATGATTACACCATTCGCCTAGGTAGCTCTTCCACGGCGTTAATTTCATGCAGAATGAAGTAGCAAACCATTGGTTTCCTCCTGAAAACTCTCGAGAAGTTAAGAAGCGAATCGAAGCATGGAGCAAATTCAAGATTACAGGTAAGAGGTGAAAGACTCGCGCTTGCGTTCGAGCAGGTGCAGTCATTTTCAATGACACGTTTCATAATGCTGCCATCGTTCCATCAACCCCACTTCGACAAAAATGTTCAATTAGTGCAAAAATTAATTTCTATTCCAGAAAACAGCTGTATTATCAATCGTTTCCTGTAGCTTTTGGATCACTATGAACATTTCCTTCCAGTGGTGAGATACGCAAAATGCTACAAAATATCGATTGCCAATTTTCAGGACGGTCAAAGATTAAATGTGAAACTACACTGAAGTAACAGGCAACAAGAGATCTACCCCACCAAATGCCAAAGGATTAAAACATTATTCAGCAACATTATCTAAGCTGTATCCCAGAGGGGCAACCCATGCAAATTGTATTCATTCTTTTTTTTTTTAAGCAACCCGAGCCTAACCTGAGGCATAGGTAATAAACCAGTGCTCCATTGATTTGGTATCACTTTGATAATATTGTTCAAGTAGTCGAATTTGCATCAGTTGATTCATATGATCCTTGTGATTATCAAGTTTAAGTCCACCAGACAGTGGGTTTTACTTCAAATTCACTTAATCTCCAGCATGGACATTCAGGATCAGATTCAAATGAGAATGAAAAAGAAACCTAACTCCAACAAAAGCAAGGAAGTGAGCCTAAACTTGGCCACATGTAAGTCCATACAAGCATAGAATGGGATGGGATTTGGAAAACTCAAAAATGAAAAAACAGGATACTTTCAAGTCCTTTCAAAGGGCATGACAACTATAATTCAAAGGAGGGTTGCACAATTACATAAATCATATCACTATCAAACGAATTATAATAAAATTACACTGCTCACAATTTTAATGCAGAATGCCAAATATCTAGCATTGGGAGAGTAAGTTTTGGGCTTATGAAAAAACCAAACTGTGTCATCACACAAGAAGTAGGCAGTGTTGTGTGACTATGGCACTGCTCCTGGCTCCTTCCATCAGTATGACCACCACTGGAGCAGAAGGTGGCATAGAGATTAGAGGATCATTGCTCGGAACTTAGCATTTAGGGACTTAAGTAACTTGTAAGTGGTGGATATATGATGTGGGAGGGTTAATTTTGCATTTAAAATTCTTCCCTTATCGAAATTCATCAGTGATCATTTCCAAGTTCCAAGGTACCAAGAAGTGGGTTCATGGGTAAGAATGGCAGGGTAGAAAACCATAGTGCACTCATCTCAATAGGCCTCACTCAGGGGGGGGGGGGGGGGGGCTGTCCCAAACTGGTATCAACTAATTTAACATTTTGACTGCCAGACCCAATTTTTCTGCATGCTGAGACAACTGGCATATGACCCACTAGCAGGTCGTATGGCAGTCAAAGTGTTAAAAAACCACTTTTCATGCTATGGTCCCTTCATTCAAGTCTGATATTGACCATAATCCACTCCTCTTCAGCACACCATTCTTGATGACCTTAGTTCTTACTGAAAAAAAAAACACAAAGCTTGTCCAGCTGCCATGTACCTATTTACAATTTTGCATGGAGAAGAGACACTTTGGTAACTTGATGCACTTAAAATCCCTGCTGCCTCCAATGAAAGGCATTTTCAATGTACCATTCATTGGAATACCACAAGTAATTTTTGTTTCTTGCATAAATAAATGAGGCCATGGCATTAATTCAGTTTAGTGGTTATAATCAGGTTGGAAAAATTTTCAGCATCCAACTTCATTCGAAATATACTTTGGTAGGTAAAACAGTACAGCATAGAGCAACTCATTAGATAAACCACAAGCACCCTTCCCTCGCTAAGGAACTAACAAAGGGCTGAAGTGGATACATGAATCATTCTCTCTTTCCTGTGATGGGAGGCAATGACCATATCGCATCAATTCTACTAGCATTTAAAGATATTAGTTACATTAATAGTTTTGGAGAACCAATAATTAATACATATCCTCTCTCTATCCTGTGAAGTGCTTTTCATGACTGTCTGCCTGCCCTCCTCTCCCTCCTTGCACTAGTGGACTCCCAGAAAAGAATTTCTGGCTGCATCCTAGCTCTAATGGATGGCACTCAAGATCCTGGTTACCCAAATTGTCTATTTTTGGGCACATGAAATATAAAAGACTTACTGTCATTGTCCTTGACCAATACAAAGTAGGGTGACAGCTCTTTCTTGACCTCAGAGAGCAGATCAACTAATTTCTGTGGTAGCAAGACGTAATATACAGTAAAACCTCTGATAGCTTATACTGCCATAGCTTATAACTTCCAGTACCTTATAGCAGGGTTTGGCCCCAAGCATATAAGTTAAGGCAGATTTTACTGTATATTCAATAAGTGGTCACTCTGACAAAGGGCAATGCACTTTTGACCTCTAGGGAAACTAGATTTTCTTTCCACAAGTCCAAGATCACCAATCAGTCTGTATTACAGTACTGACCTTATCTTCATTGAAAATGTATCACTTTTTCACAAGACAGATCCTCCCAGTGTGATTTGATGCAGCACTTGTCTGCCTGCATTATCCATGGGAACAGTCTCCATTATAAGAACCTCAGCCATAACATCAAGCTTAGAGCATTGGCTCCAAGCTTGAAATTTGCTAAGACTGCTTCAACTTTTTTTTTCATCCAGGTCCAAAATTTAATTACTTGAACAGACATCTATGACGATTTACATACATATTTGCATCATTTACATCATGCAATGCCATTTCTTTGGTGCATCCAAGGTGAAGGCATAATATTTACTGTTTTCACACACAATTCATACCCTCCCAGATAGTGAAGGGCAGAGAAAGCGATGCTTCCAAACGATTCACAAAAAACCACCTGTGATGATGCTGTCACTACAAGTGTTTGGTGCAGAGGCTCCTATGGGGAAGACATATAAATATAATATAAATATAAAGACAAATAATGGAGCAAATGATTGCCATAAGTACACTTTGAAAATGGTATGATTTTACATGCTTTCTTATAAATTACTTACCAGGCAGGAGAGAAAACGCATGAATGAAAAAGTGAAAAAACGACGGCATCACTACATGCTAAAAGGGGCGAAGGCTAATAAAAATGAGCCCGAGAAATTTACAGCTGCTAAGTGTTTTGAGGAACGAACCCTAAATTTAGGCGAACCGGTTTTAAATTATGAGCCTAACGTAATTATGTGCCTACTTCGTTCCATTTGCCAGTACACGCAAAGATCTAGTGCAGGACTAACGTTAAGCTTCACGGTAAGACGAGGAAACTCACATTGAAACCGTCGGACTTGGCCCAGACGTTGCCATCGTGTCCGGCTATTGCTGCTTGGGAGATGTTCTTGGAACCTATCAACTGCTTGTCGATGTAATCCTGCCAACTCATGTTGAACGGGGATCACAGACGAAGGAGGGGGGGAAAGGGGGGATAAAGGAGGAAAAAAGGAGAAGCAGGAGGCAGACTACCGGCGACGGGAGGACAGGCACGTTCCGTCAGTCTCGGCTCTGTGGCCCACAATGGCGGGTCTCCCTATCCCTCCTCTCTCCCCTCGTGTATTCATCCGCTTCCTACCCCCTTCGACTCGTCACCGTCGTCCCACGTCTCCTTTCCGGCCGTCTCGTTTTGTTCCGTTTATACGTTCTCGACCGTGAGGAAAATAAAGGCAGTAAGGAGGAGCGAAGAGGGGAAACGAAGGATCTAGATGTCGGACGGTTACCGGCTGGTATTACGTCAGCGGAAAAGTAGGCCTGCTGCCTGCCACTTCGGAATGGGCTGTCATCCAGGACTGACTCATTCGCCAGCCTACCGTCGCCACGCGATGAAAAAGTCCCGTGAGTCCGTCTCCCTCGACCCTCACCCACCGACATGGTTTCGTACTCCTCCCCTCCGATTGCAGAATCACGTACGTCTGCTGCATACGAGTGAAAAACAGTGCGTACTGGCTGACCCATATCCGCCACGGCATGACCTTGACACGGATCTCTTCACGGGGGACATGCGGAAGCTTGTCTTGGGAGCCAGCTGCTCTTTTGTATTAAAGCAACCCGCCGGGACTGGATGGATGAATAAGTACAACATATGCACAAACCGTTATGCGCCGTCCTCATAATAAAAAAAGAAACGCCTCTCCCCTATTAAAATTTTTCCTGTCTGACACGCCCACTAACCGGAACTCTCCTGCCACCTACACTAAGTTTGTCAGATCCAAGCTTTGTACCTGGTCGACAGAGCGCGGAGACGGAATTCTTTGAGGAGAGTGCCATCCCCACGAGAGCGACCCCTAAACCAACCGACGACCTTGTAACGACGTGCTCATTCGTTTTCGAGCCGCTTGTCCCGATTCGATGGGGACCTTGTCAACGGACTCGAGCGATAAAGAGTCGCCATGCAGTGCGTGCACGAGGGCTACCGACTGGTCTGTGGGTCATTTTAAAGCGGAAGATTCATTTTGGGGATCTCCCGGGGTGCACGCGTCCGAACCAACGGTCTCGAGATCTCTCGATTCGGACGAGATCTTGAGGCTCTCACCAGGACCGGATTAAGAAGTTGCGAGGCCTGGGGCAAGTGGATTCTTCCCCCCCCCCCAAGACATTTTACCTGGTGGTACCAAGTAGAGTAGACACACAATAGAGCGCTGGCGGTGCAAATATTCATTTGTAACATGTACTACTTTACGCAAATACGTATTTACAGTTAATTTCTTACGGGGACCCCCCCTGAAAAAGTGGGGCCCGGGGCAACAGCCCCCTTTGCCCCCCCCCCCCCCCCTTTAATCCAGCTCCGGTTCTCACGGGCACTCCGCATCTTCTCGCTCGGCGTGACACCAGCCACCCGCCGCAAAAGAACCTCGTCGAGGCAGCTTGCATCCGCGACCTCGTTCTTTCCTTCATTTTTTACATTTCGTGGCCGCCGGTGAGGAAAGGGAAGGTGAACGCTCTCAAAAACCGGAAGTATTTTTGGGAAAATTCGTGACCCAGTCCCGCGAGATCACGACGTGGTGCATCATCACGAGACGAATCGCAAAACTTTTGATCGTAGACGACTTCGTCGGCGATGAAAATGAGCAGAAAGTCGAGAATTTGCGTTGGAAACTCGACAACGGATATTGAAAAAAAGTGACTGAATCTCACGAAGCCTTTTTTTTTTTGCTGTGACGCGCAAAATCGGAAAACGGAGAAAACCAGCGATTGCGAGTGCATCGATGCATATTCAAGGCGACAAGGAAAAGAAGAAAAGGATAGAATTTCGCGACGAAAGCTCATCCTGAAATGACGACATCGAGTAGAAGAGACCCAGCACCTTCGGGATGGATCACGTGACCATCGCGTGACCGTTCGTCTCGTTGGCTTTGGACGAGAGCACGGACAAGGATGTCCAGCTCCCCCCTTCCACACTTGGAGCACCCAGGGTGCACTCAGGGTGCAGGTGCACCCTATGTGCGCCGTCCATGTCTGCAATAAAGAAGGCGTTCTTGCATTCTAGAAAAAAAAGGCGACGGAAAAGGGCGGAACCGGGACGTGATTGCATCATCAAGAATCTCGTTATGGACGCCGTGATGCAATGCGCGAACTCGATCGAGTCCAAGCGATTCAACCGAATTCAATCGAGCCCAAGTCATTCAACCGAATTCGATCGAAAACCTGAGAACGTGAAGCCGAACGCATCCACGTAATTTATTTAGCGCTTCTTTATTCTCCGCCAAAAAAAAAAGAAGCTAAAAATTGAGATCGAAAGGCACGGAGTGGCTCTGCGAGTTCTCGGCTCGCGATTGGAACTTGGAAGAAAACCGAAAGAGCTCGAGAAACGGCAACGTATCCCACTTACAAGCTTTTCCAGCGCTTCATAAATATATATGTGATATTTTACCTTTTCCAATTCGCTTTCAAATGGTTTTTCGGCAATTCTATCAGCGATCGATGTCGAGGGGAATCGGGGGGAAAGCGACAGCAGTTTAGCAATCGAAGACGTACGGTTTTGGCAACTAAATCTCAATTTCGGCGTTTCCTATCGAAGCGAGAACAAATCGGAAAGGAATCGTCGGAATTCCGCTCGTTCGTCGATGAGCGAATCTCCCTCGAAATTCCGACGTGGAAGCGATCGGGAACGAAAATCGAAATGACTGGAAGGAGAATTCATCTGCTCTAGAGTGGATCGTTAAGTGCATCACGTGGCAATTATTCCAAGGGAATGGGAATGGGAATGGGAATGGAAATTTAATCATTCGAGCAAGTAAAATTTGAGGAAGCTTTAAATTCAACCGACGGTTTAAAAAGAAAAGCCGCCACTACAGCATCTTCGTTTCTTCCCGACGCGAAACTGCCCGCGGAATCTGCGATTCCCCGTTTTCTGCAAAAACTTCTTGAGAAACGAAGCCGAAGCGATCGCGAATGAGACTTGAGGTGAGCGAATTGCGATCGCAAATTCGAGGCTTCTCCCGGGAGATCGTCGCGGGACGTCCTCGCGAGGGCCTCAATCTAAAGGACTGCGGGAAGGGCCTTAAGGTCAACCCCCGATCCGGTGAAGAAAGTCCAAAGATTAAATTTAAGGTGAATACATCGCTCGTGACGATTAGCTGATCGTTCGTCCCAAGTGTGAGATTTTTTTGCGAAGTGCAGCGAGTCCGTAAAGCCTGTCATCTCATCGTCATTTCACTGTCATTTCATTGTTGCGGCAGCAATCCGGACTCAAGGTGGGTGGCATTTCCCATGCGAGGAGCAAAGCCGAAATGTTTCCTTTCGGAAAGTCTGCCGAACGCCGAAAATGTTTCTAAATTGTGGTTTTCTCCATGCTTGCATTCATTTTCCATTTTAAAACCGAGGGAAATGCGTTCCAAATCAATCACAAATCATCTAAAATCACCAAAGGTATGTTTTACGTGCGATTTTCCTCTCGGTGAGGTTGGTGTTTGCCCCGGTAAAATACACTGCCGGAGTTGAGCAATTTGCTTAGAATGAGTCTAAGACTTAGAATGTGTTTAGAATGACCTCAATGGAATACGGTCCCAGGACATCCATTAAGCAACGCACCCTAGAAGAAACGAAGAGGAGATTCCTCGACATCCGTTGTCTAGGCGAACATTCCAGGTCATTCCAGGATCTGTCCTCTTTCAAGAAAACAATAAGAAATTCTTCGAGAAGGAGGGGTGGGGGGAGGGGAGGGGGGTGTGGGACACCAATCTTTTGCCTCCTTCCTTCCATTTTCAGAGATTGTTCATGATGGAGACAGCTGACTCCTCTACCCCTCCACCCTCCTTCCCATTTCTGCCCTCTTCCTTCACTTTTGCCCCTCCCCCCCCTTTCCCCTTCTGCCCTCTTCCTTCCCACTTCTCCCTCCTCTCCCTTCCTTGTAGGAGTGTCATTGGTGAAAGGGCAGGAGTCCCCTCCGAGTGGTTGCGCCAGACCGGCCGCCAGCTCGCGATAAACAGACAGCGACACGTTTCGCTGTTTAAGACTACTCTTGGGCCTCGTCCGGTCCCGAGGAAGCAGGGCGATCGTGTCGATTCGGTTCTTCTCGTTTCCCTCCGCACCTCATCACTGGAACAACTTTGAATTCGAAGCTTCCCAGTCGGGTAAAAGATAAAAAAATATATGATATAAATTCGTTGTTTAATTCCTCGGGGTCCGGGGAGGAATATGGGGTTAACTGTCTGCTACTGTGGGCCATTCAATCCTTAAAGCGATTGCAGGAGCTGCCTTCGGGTGAACGGGACGAGTTGTGTACGTGTTGGACTTCATCGAGTGGTCGGCATCGGTGGTGTCGAAGTAACGATACTTCTCTTCGCCCATGATGCCGTCCTTTCGGTCCGGTCTCAGCCAGTTCGACTCGGCATGCACTGCGGTCGGAACGAAGTCGAGCGTCCCCAATGCTCTGATTATGGTCCTCTCGAGAAGTACTTTTACATGTTAATGGGCTCCGCTGGAACGGTTGGAGAAGTTTAAGTACCTCGAGGTCTGGTTCTCGAGCGACGGGCGATACGGAAATGAGATCGACAGCCGCATCTCCAGGGCTTCCGCCGTTTTTCGGGAACTCTGGTGGACTGCGCTTGCCAAATTTACAGTAAATTCCAAGGAGAAACTTTCAGTTATTTAGAGGGTTTGCCTCTCCCATCCTCGCTTACAGTCACGAACTACGGTCACGAGTCCTCGAATATAAAATGACCGGCAAAAAAAACCAGCCGGTAGTCCTCGCACAAGGTGGACAGGCTGTATCGCAAATCTTTCTCACCTAGGTATACCACCTGCCGAGCTCAAAGTCCTTGCTCAGGATCGCGAACACAGGAAAACGCTCGAATCGCGACCCCATTAAGTTAGGATAAGCGGATGGATGGCCAGAACTAAGCCTCCTCTCGCCCATAGACGATGCGTAGGGATGTCACGCGACCAGGGGCCAGCAAGCCTGGCCAGCAAGCGCTAACGCTATAGGCCAGTGGTCAGCAACTAAATTTCACGGCGGGCCGGATGGCAGAATGCTGAACGTTCGCGAGCCAGCACCTAGCAAGTGTCATTAAAATGAAAATTTTATCGAACGTCTCATGTCAAACGTGCAGCTGAACGTCTATTGTCAGACCGTAATGCCCGATACCCGGGTCTTC